CTGCTGAGCTGCTGCAGTGAACCAGTGACTACTTGAGGCATAGCTGCAAAATCAGAAGGGACCAACAATAATGAAATAGTTCATATTAGGTAGATTCTAATTTCTCAAAATTAGTGCAGTAATTTAATGTAATAATTGAATGCATTTAAATAAATGAAAAACAAAAACAGTTTCAAATGTAAATTTTAAAGCCTTTTTTTTATCACCTTTTCACCAAGATATGTACAGAGTAAAAGGCACAGAAGATGATCCTTGTGAGGTAAACATTAGAATCTCCTGGTGTTGATCAGTGATGGTAGAGATGATCCAGATCTTCTTCTGGTTCACTGTACATTCTCTGAGAAAGCAAATCAACGGGAGCGTCGTCATTAACAACATCCTGGTAGAAAATGAACTGCGGTGGGTCTTTGTGGTACAATTCATCCCTATCCTCCTCTGGTTGAAGGTACATTTTGACTTTCTGTTCACCTGCAACTTCACGTTGCAGCAGCGCCATCTGCAGAGTTAAGAACTGCTCATCACGATGATAGACGTCATCCTCGTCCTCCTCTGGCACAGAGTAGGGCCCAGGGACTGGCTCAGCAGCTTTGTGACCAGCGGAGAGTGGGGCCAGGTACACAGCCAGCTCCTCTCTTGTTTGCTGGTAAACTTCTTCCCAATGATTTTCAGGTTCTTCTGGGTCCCCCTCACTGAAATCACGGTGGTAAATGTCATCTTTGTCTTCTTCTGGCTGTGTTTTGAACGTGTCTGGTGCAGCTTCTTCGTGGACCTCAACAGCAGGTACAACATTTAGGCTCTGGCTTTGGGCTTTAAGGAGATCAGCCACTGAAGGATGGTGTACCTCATCTAGGTCTTCCTCAGCCTCCTGGGCTTGGTTGCCTTTGTGGCCACTCCAAATCTTCATTCTAGGGTCAATGATGTATTCGGTCTTGTCCATGTCCTCTGGAGGTTCCACCTCCACACCCCAGTCTTTGTCATCCATTGACCTAAGACAAATGTCAGGCCGTTTAGTCAGCAATTTAAAAAAAGGGCAGATATCTATAAGGCAGTACAACTCACATTAGAGTTTCCTGGAATGCTGTATCTACAAGTTTATTCTGACAAATAAAAAAAAAACAGTAAAAATGTTAAACCACTGCTACTTAAATAGTGTGACACAATGATGCTGTTGTATTTTAGACGGCCAGTCGGTACATACCAAAGGCTTAGCTGTGATACCAACTATCAGAGGAATGAAGACCAATAATGAAATCCTGCAAATGAAAATATAGAACCTCACAATTTAAAACATTCAAAAAAGTTAATAAACTTGATATATGAAAAAAAATAATTAAGAATAAAAACTACAATTCATCCTCTAAAAGAAAATGTAAAATAATGTATTACTTCTTACCTGAACATGTTGTTACGCCTCAGTGTTTCCAATCCTAACACAGTGAAAATGTGCTGTGGTTCACCTGAAGCAAGGGTCCAAAGTTCTATCAACAGTCATATTTTCCTGACCTTTGTATCTTCATTGTACAGCAGCAGAGTCAGTAATTAATCTGCTATCAGGTCTGTGTTATGGTTATAAAAGATTCAAATGCGAGCCTGTTCCAACAACTCAGCTGTAGCAGTGAAATTATGTCAAGAGTCTAGAGTCGTTTTAAAACTCTAACCCTTGTATGCATGCTTGAGTGAAAAAAATTGCAAAATATTGTTCTAATTGTAAAGCCGAAGAGGTAGACTGGTTTCAAAAATACCTAAATCTGAATATTTTGTAAGGGTAATTCAATTAGTAACTTCCTGGAAAGTTGTTTGATTGAATAACTAGTTTATTCAATATTCCACATTTTGTAGTTACTTTTTGAAATATATTAGTGCAGCTTCACATTTATGACTGTTTCATTCAGTTTTTTGTCTACACTCTACAGTTTGATATTTGGTTAAAAGTGTATAAACCTGTTATCCCAGATCTTATCCACATAGAAAGTGAAATCCTTCTATTTCTAGATGGTATTCAAAAACCTCTTTCCCACTTATTGTCCTAGCACCCTGCCAAATGAAGCAATATGCTCTGTTCTAAATATGCTATGCTTTTGTTATTTATATATATGTATAAGTTTGAAGTCAGCAGTCCGTTTGGAACAGAGTGTAAGATGAATGTGGGAGTTGTTTAAATGTGGTGCGCAGAAATAATTCGACCACAGGGCAAAGATACATATTTCACTATATCCTTCACTTTTGCTATAATCTTGTCAGACACAGATGAGAGTCTCTCCTGTGTTCAGCTTTAACCACTTAAAACAACTCATTACATTCACATGTATACACTGACTGTGGGAGGACAGATTGGACACAGATGATCAGCCTGTGATCTTAGTGCCAGGCACCACTTTTAGTAAAGCGGCAATTCAGCACGTCAGCTCTAATCTACTTCAGTGCCCAGATCCTATCACTCTGCAAAACGGACTGCTTCACATTTATAATTTGTTCTCTCAAATCTTTTTTTTTTTGTCTTTCTGATATGCTGCCAAAAATGAGTTTTTAAATCTATTATGAGGAGATAAAGGAAGTGGACTAATGTATGGTACGTATACACTCCAGCTCTGTGAAATATGAGTTCTCTTCATCTCTTGTCATCATGTCTCCTCCATCACAGACCATCAGAGACCACTGCCTTGCCTTTTGGGTTTGTGGGAACTTCTACACAACACCTCAGCTACACAGTAGGCAGCAGAGCTGGACACCAACACACATACTACAGTAGAGAAGGAGAAGACAGACGCACCACACACGCTTCCTGCCCTGTACCAGTGATGGCTCCGCTGTGTCTGCTGGTTATCTGCCCCCTGTATCAGAGCCATATGTACCATTTTGAAGTCGAACCTCTCCCCTGGTCACTGGTTTGTCTACTGTCTCTGACCTGAAGACACATTTAAGGTTAGTAAAAAAAACTCACAAGCAAACCAACAGCAACTCTTTGGAACACATGGTGCTGCAGTATTCTGACTTGTTAAAACTATTTTCATGTTTATGGAGGTACAACAGTGCCCACTGTATCCCAACATCCTGTCCCAGATACTGTACGTAATTGGAATGGAAATGGAATTTAACATGTTTATTTATTGCTCTTCTATATTTGGACTGAGCTGTGTCATCTCCTGTAGCATAGTACTGAGCATTTGTGCAGATATATAAATAGATATTCTAAATAGTTTACTCCAAAAATGCTGCTGCCAGGTAAATTACGTATATTGAGGGATTAGCTGGTAGGGCTAATAATCCTGGAGAGGAGATTCTGTAGTTCTGAGCCTCAGATCACATGACTCCATGGACACTATTGGTCTCAATAACATCTATGAGGCTGTAGCTTATACTTATAGCTTATACTACATAAAGTGGTTCTGAACGTTGTGGGTTAGATTAAAATGTGTTGTTGTACTTTTACTTTTTGCAGGAATAATGTAGGATTTTGTATGTATTACATATATAAGGATGGACAAAATAGAAGAGAGGTGAAATAGTGTTTTTTAGGATTCTTCTGCAGTAAAAATTAAATAATGTGAAATACCATAATCTAACCTTTAAGTAGAGACAATTTAGGTGATGCTAATGAATTTAAACACAATCTTTTAGTGCTGTGAAAATCTGCTACATCATCTCATTATCATGATACATGAGGCTTGTACCAGTTTGAGTTTGGAAAAACTTCTGCTCAGTGGTGTATCTGTTTATACAGTCTAACTGTGTCAGGCCTGGAGACAGAACACGTTTCACAGACAAACATTTCACTCAAATAGACCCTTTGAATCAATATGAAAATATTTGAGGTAATTAAAGTGATTTTTATGTGGTGTAAGTTACAGATTGTGCTGCAGCGCCTTGAAAAGTTTCTGGTAGATTGGTTTGATCTAAGCATGAAGTGCAACTATTTTTTTTCTTTCTCTCAGCGTGCATGTATGAAGGTGAATGAAACAGAGTTGCACAAAAGTTGAAGCCAGGAACACATTGGCTGCCTGTAAATATTGAAATGCAGCGCTAGGTCATAATTTATGACTGCAATTTCAGATCAGTAAATATCCAAATGTTTCAGCCTGCATAGATTTATTGGCCAAACCACCACGGTGAATTTTTGACAAAATTCCCATTTTTAAAATGAACTCTGTTGGCTTAATTTGTGCTTAATAATTCTGTGACATACTTGTGGTATGTGGCGTATAGACGATGTGAGTGCTTTACAGGATAAATGCATGTGTTGTTAGCAGTATACACTTCCTACATGCACAGTGTGGAGTCAGATGCAGACGATTACTACGTTGTTGCATGTGATGACAGATCTGTTGTCCTGGCCTTGTGCCAAAACCAGTAACTGCTGTTGGAATGGAATGCGGCCGTCGTGTTCTTGCTTGACTTTGAATGGCACCTTGATCAAAATTAAAAAATTAAGGAACAAATAATCAACAGGCGACAATCAGTTGGAGACATCAGACTCCAAGGTTTTTTGTCAGTTGGAGACATCAGACTCCAAGGTTGTTTTTTTTTTTTAGACAGCTCAGTCTATCACTGCCTGACGTTTGATAGTGAGTATGATGTATTTACAGGGGGAAAGAGATGTGCTGCTCATTCATACCAAAAACAATCATCAGAAAACACAAAACCTTATCATCATGGTGATTAGGATCAGTAAATCCTCATTAGCTTGTCCCAGAGCACAGGGCTGTATTTGAGGCTAACAAGCCCCCCTGTCTTTACACACCCTCTTCCTCCATGCGCTCACAACATTTAAGAAAAGCTGTGGTTTTTCTAAATAACTAAAATTAACGCAATGATCTGCAATTAACTTAATTGAGGCTTCACCGACAGCCATTACACACATATTAGACATCTCATGGTGGAGCTAAACCACACTA